TATAGCGTCGAGTTTAACAGAGTTTGAAGGTGTAGTAAAAGAAGAACTACTATCATTTATATCATCAGCATCATTGTCATTTTCTGGGGTCGTTGATGCTAATAAGTCAGCATCTGTAAATTCTTGATGTACCAAATCTATCTCTTCTGGTGGATTTGTATAATGAGCAAGGCTCATAGGGTGGTGAGGAGACAACGTTTTGAGTGATTCCTCCAACTCTGTGAGAACAGATAAATCTTCATCATTTGGGTGAACTTCACGGGTAGAAGCAGTTATTTCATAATCAAACAAGCCAGTATGGCAAAAACAGTTTGTGATAGTTTCTGGAGGAATTGAATATCAAGCTCGAACACACTATTGCATTGCTGTTAGTTGGTCAACTTTATAGATATCAGATTCCTCAGCCTCATTACGGTCAATAGCGATATCGATGTTTGAAGACGGCAATAATGCTTGCGTCTATTGGTTGAAGCTTGAAGGTGGTTCTTGGAGGTAAAGTGACAACCTTTATATTAGTAAGATCTACATCACCAACTGCATGCGAAGTAGTGCCATCAATAAGAAGGAGGATGTGTCGATTTGTATCTTGCATCATACTATTAAAGTTTACAATCCATTCTTAAAAAGAAGACAAGTCATCCAGGCTTTCTTATTATAGCAGTAATAAAAACCAAGCTGTCTCCAGTTTTGCCTTTAAATGATCTTGGTTTGTTTGAATGACCAATTATAAAGGGTTTTAACATATGCGAACTATCTGAATTAGTGGTAAGGGCAAGGGTGAGACGAGTTTTGTCTTTTTTGCAATCTTCAATGTGTCTTCTGGCGATTGTTTTGTCTGGCGCCATCCTGTAGAACAGACCAGTTTCGTCTATATTGTAAACATCTCTCGCAGCATATTGTTTAATAGTTTCACATAGTTCAGACAAACTTCTTTCGATTGGTTCATTATCAGCAGATCCGCTTTCTCTATGAATTCTATGCATTTTAAAACCATAATATTGCTCAAATAAAAGCAGCCAACCAACAGAAAAATCAGGTGTATTATGATCTTGGGTCAAGACCTAGTTGTTCAGCAAATTTTCATCCTTTCTCATATATTAACTCTCCAGTTAAATGAATTCTTCTTGTTTGACATTGCAAAACCCAGTTTTCTAATACTTCATCTAATTGTGGTTGGAGTACTGTATGGTAGCGTTTAATTCTAAAGTCCTTTTCATCATCAATCTTAAGATACTCTTCCTTTTTTGCAAGAATTCGTGAAAGAGTTGCTT